CAATATGTATTCAATTTATCTACAATGTACCAACTCTTTTCATTCAATAAAGCTTTTCTTCATGAAAGATTTCAGCATTAATACCAACATGATTTTTATACATACACCATAACATAAAAAGTAAAGTGAACAAGCAAAAACAGAACAATTAATAGGATACTTAATGGATAACGTTTAATATCACCGTATATAGAATTTCTCACATAATGTATCAATAGGCGCGGCGTGACGCCGCGCGTGCATAGCTAGTTAATATTAAGTACAACCTATATTCACTACTGGGATCGACAAGTCTGCCTGGCGTTTAGTAATTTGCCGCGTGCATTTTAACGGGCACTTGGAAAACACACCCGCGTTGCCAAGCATTTCAGAAAAATAAAACTTAAAATAAAATCAAAAATTTCACACAGGAGTAGATCAGGAACCGATGTTTAATATCCCCAAATTCCAGATTTATTTTTCAAATTTTTTTGGTATCCTTTTGGATTTAATATTCATATATGGGTGTGGAGCATCCGGATGCTACAAATCCGCTTCCACTCTTTGCCTCGTTTCTGTCATATATTTATGGTCCTTCTTAAAATATACGGTTAGAAATAGTTTGTTTACCTTGATTAAGTGATGGAAGAAACTCTTAAAAATATATTCTTTTAGTGAAGTAGTACCAGCTTGGAAAGAAAGAAAGGCTCACTGCAGAGTGCAGAGAGAGAAGAAAGATGGTGTATTATCCGCTCGGCGTCGGCGCCGCCGGTCGCTGCCACTGCCCGCCCATCCTCCTCCACCTCCGCGCCCCGCTGGCGACGGCGGCCACCTCGCTCCGTCGCCAGCCCCTGCTCCAGCTCCGCCCGCTCGCCTCCTCGGCCGGACGGCGGACACGGGGCCGCTGCCACGCCGTCGACACCGAGGAGGACGACGGTTTCCTCACCCTCGACCTGGAGGACTTCGACGGGCTCGCCACGAGGAGGCGGAGGAGGGCCCGCCGCCGTGGGAGCAGGGCCGGCCCTGTGTTTTGGAAGGCCCTAGGCGAACTCGACGACATGGGCCCCTATGATCTAAGTCCTAAGACAATATATATGTATGCGTGTTATATATATATAAATTATTAAAAGTAACTTTCAATCACACATCTTTGGTTTAAAATATGAGTATAATAATTCAAATGACTCCATCGAGAACAATAATAACCAAATTCGAACCGACTCCATAAAAAACAATGGTACTAAAAAGATCGCAAAATGAAACTAATATGACATGATTACCTCAAATAAGAACGAAATTAGACTGACTCCATCGACAACAATAATACTTTAGTGTTTCAAAAACAAGTTTCTTCAGGCATTTCTTGATGCAAAGTCATTAAGGGCACAATCAAGATCAACATTGTCCAAGATATCCTTCTCAATGCAGCACATAGCCAGGCCATTCAATCTATCTTGCAACATAGTTGATCTCAAATAATTGGAACCCTAGACATGTTACATAGAATGACAAAAAATTGATAGATTGGATTACAATACATACATACTAAATAAAGAATAAATAAACTACTGAGATTGTTAAATTGAGGTTTGGGGATGGACAGGAACATGGATGCGTACTTCTTGACTTCCAGTCGGATGCGTACTTGTATAGGTATTGCCGTATTGCCGCGGTGCCGGATGCCGGATGGCCGATTGGCCGGGCTGCCGCCTGCCTGCCGAACTGCTGTGTGGCGGCGACGGCTGAGCCGGCGAGGTGAGGGCGACGCGGCAAGGGCCAAGGGGCAAGGCGCCGAGCAAGCGAGAAGGCCGACGGGTGGGCAAGGGCGACGAACCTACAAAGGAAACGTTGAAACGAGCGTGAGTCACGGCGCCGCTTCGCCTACGCGTATCCATCAGCGATCGCTAGCTAGCTATATCTGGGCCGCCTAGCCCATCCTATTTCTTTTCTTTAATTCTTTTGTAATCTTTTACTTGCTTTTTGCTGGGCTATAGTATATGTATATACTCCATCATGTGCCCCCCCCCCCTCCCCCCTCCCTCGCTTGGGCCCTGGGCCGTCGCCCCGTCGCCCATGCCCCAGGGCCGGCCCTGCGTGGGAGGGCGCGGTGGTGTACCGGCGCGACGCAGAAATCTCATGCCAAAAATCTGACAAATGGTAGTGAGCTCACGACCATTGTTGCCCTTATGATGGTATACAAGTCAAATGGTTTTATCGATACCTCTGACGTTATCACAATTTAATTGGACTAAGTGAGTACCTTTGTTCATCCTTTTATCACGTCTTATACTCATGGTTTACTTGCTGTGTCAATCGACAGGAAGTACGTGTGCTGCCAAATTGGATTGGGGTGCACACGCATCTATCTTTTGAAACAAGTCTACATCTCCAAAGGTATTTACTATGCGTGTAGTCGTCCCGAATAATCGCTTGCTTCCTGTGGTTGTTAATTCAACAAAGTCCTCGTCGATGATGATTTGCACTGGACAGATCATCCTATGTATGTACACGGGTTGTACCAGGTTTCATTTCCACTGAATTTTGCATTTCCTGCAGCCGTTCCACAAAGCTGTAAAACAAATATCTATTTGTACTCTATTTCGTATAAGACCTATTCCGTAATCTTTGCTATCGGATATCTTCCTTCCAGATTCGTGCTGGCATGTTGATCTTTATTCTCCTCTGATTCATTTTCTGGAAAACACTAGATCACGAAGCAACCGTTGGGTTCTGCTGCTTTAATTTGAGAAGGTTACTGATATACTAACAAGTACGGTTTTGTTTGATTGATTGATTTACATTTACTTGTATAGACTTGTAGTATGTCAATGCAAATCCGGCGCATGTCCACAACTTTGAGGCGCGCTTCTGAATTTAGCGCCTGTCCACAAGATTTTGACGCGTTTCTGAATTTCCTTTCATATACCAGGCTTGCCCAAATTTTGACATAACAGATCGTCAAGAAAACAACCAAAAATTCATCTGATGCAAGAGCTTAGATCTTCTACATTCTTGGACTGTTACTATTTTGCAAAATTAAACAAAATAAAAAAAAGACATCCAAAATATTTCTCATGCAAATTCAAGATGAATTTCTCTTTTGGGTTAATACTATCCTCCTCAAGATGAAGTTCTCTTTCCGGTGGTGCGGGCCACTGGGCGCGTCCACATGGTCACGGCGGCTCGCTGATCCGGCGACCATCCACAACATCACTGTCACCGTGGGAGCCCTTGGCACACCAGCCACTGCCTGTGGGTGCTACCATTGGAGCCTGCGAGACGAGCTGCCACCCCACCTCTCCAAACCGTGAGAGCCGTCGAGAGGGATCCCGCCGGCCACTGCAACTCTAGAGAACAAGATACAATGCCATTCTTTTACCGTCCTTTTTCGTAGCAAATTCTCTCAAAAAAAGATTATTTGCCTTGTTACTGTCAATTTTTTTTAAAAAAATACTATAAAAAATAGTTTTTCTTAAATACTGTCAAGAACAGTTTCTTTGCCTCGATGAAGCGATGGAAGAAACTGTTAAAAATATCGAGCATCTGCAGTCAGATGCAGACTATCTCTCGTACGCTCCGGTCAGTGACCAGACAGGAGAGAAGGGAAAACGTGGCCTAACCGGACGCCTCATATCATCCCTATACGTCTGGATTGTCCGTGAACCCTCATGTCCATATCAAATGTAGGGAGAATATGAGAGCGCGCGGGCGCGGTCTCATCTCGAACCACCTTTTCTCTTTCTTTTTTTATTCATTCTTTTCTTTCTTTTTTTTCATCTCCCTAGTTACATGAAAGTGGCCAGACATGTTACAAAGAAAAAGGAGGAGTGTGACTGTGCGGGTGGACAAATAGGGGCTTAAAATGGACACACCCAGTCACTGACCGTGGGCGTTTAAGAGGTCATATTTGCTATGTTGGGCTGTAAATGCTCTTAGTGAAGTGGTGCTACAGGAGTATCAGCCTGAAAAGAAAAGCAAAGCTTTCTTGGCTAAATGCAGAGAGAGAAGAAAGGAGAGGATGGTGTATTATCCGCTCGGCGTCGTCGTCGGCGCCGCCGTGCGCTGCCACTGCCCGTCCATCCTCCTCCTCCGCCGCGCCCCGCCAGCGACGGCGGCCACCTCTCCCCATCGCCGCCCACCCCACCCCCTGCTCCAGCTCCGTCCGCTCGCCTCCTCGGCTGGACGCCTGGACGGCGGCCGCCACGCCGTGACCCGGAGGACGGCGATGACGGGTTCCTCACCCTCGACCTGGAAGACTTCGATGGGTTCGCCGACGGGGAGGCGGAGGGGGAGGAGGGCCCGTCGCCGTGGGAGGGCGCAGTGGTGTACCGGCGCGACGCGGCGGCGCAGCACGTCGAGTACGCCACCACCCTGGAGCGCCTCGGCCTGGCCGACCTCTCCTCCCCGCACTCCCGGGTGCGCGCCGCCGCCATGGGCATCCTCTCCTCCGCCAGTGCCGGCGACACGGCCGCGACGACGACGCCCGTGCTCGTCTCAGTCGACGTGGCCCGGCGCCGCGGCCGCTCCGGCTCGACGGCATCCTGCGCACCGTCATCACCCTCGGCTGCTACCGGTGAGCAACCACCTCCTCCTGCTGCTGCTTTTCGTCTTATCTTATCATCTGCTGTTGCTGTATGTCTGACTGTCTGCAATGCACCATGGACACAAATTCAGAATCCTACTACATCATAAGTACTCCTCTGATTACGCGCTAGCTGCTTAGCAATGACCAATCATCCGCCGCCCGAATCACCAGTACCGCCCTGTTGTCACCACCACGCACCGTTGTTACCGGCGCGGCTGCTTAATCCGCCGGGCCGCCGCGCTTCTGAAACCATGTCCCTTGCCCATCTACAAACAGCCTACAGGGTTTCAAACTGCCACATTTTACAGCTAGCTCGTTCGACCAAGGTAATCTGGCTATATGGGTAAACTCGAATCGCATGGTATTCCTTCCATTCCTCCTTGAACCTTGGCATCATGGATATGTCGTGCTATTTTTCTCCAGGCATTATACAGATCTAGTAGAGTATTGTTTCCTTTAGCTCAAAGGCATCACACTGATCTTTCAGTTGGAGCTGGCATGGTGGCATGTACTGATGATGCATCTGCCAGAGATGATAAACAGTAAATTATAGTTCAGCTAAATTGTAAAACATGGAGATACTTCGGTTCTAGTAACTGATGTAGCTACATCTCACTTGGGTAATTTGTGGACAATATTATTATCAAGGCTGTTATTGGTCATTAGATCCATTGTTGGCTGTTAAGGGGGGATATTATATTCTGGCATTTTCGATATGGAAATACTCTGTTTCTAGTTAATTGCAACAAAGTTGACTCTTTATGAACGGACCGCAACAGAGTTTTTCTCCTGATAAAACTAGCATTAATTCTGTTTATGGCCTGAATTTTGACTTGGCTGATTTGAGGGTAGTACAACTAAGCAGTGTTGTTGTTGGTTCTGAAACCCATCATTATCATGCTCCATTTTCAGGTGTGCCGAGCCAGCTGCCCAAGGCATATTCGCGAACTTCTCACTCCTACTGACAGAGGACCCCATGGAGGAACCTGATGTGATCGACCTCGGTAGACAGGACCAAGTTCCCTTCGCTGGCTGGCAGCGAGGACGAGAACGATGACCGCCTGCATTTCCCGGCTGGGGAGAAGGAGATTGACATCTCAGAAGAACCTTGGGGACATCCCGGCTGGGGAGAAGGAGATTGACATCTCAGAAGAACCTTGGGGACATCCCGGCTGGGGAGAAGGAGATTGACATCTCGAAGAACCTTGGGGACATCATCCACCTGGAGATCACGCTGGATGCCTTCTGCAGCAGCACCTGCAAAGGCATGTGCCTCGTCTGCGGCGCGAGCCTCAACACGAGCAGCTGCAGCTGCGGCGCCGAGGAGTCGTCGCAAGCCAAGGACGCCAGGCGGCCAGGAACTCTCAAAGACCTGCTGAAGCCTATGCAGAGAAGATGATGATGAGGCAGACAGTGCATATGTAGGTTAACTTGGGGGGATCAAATTAACTGTGTGTACATTTATCACTGTTTATCACTTGTTAAATACCTGGAAAGGTTAGATTAAATTGCTGTAGGTTAACTCACTGGCAGAATTCTTCATGTTAGCAAGTGTTATCTTTTTGCTGGCAGACTATCTTGCAAGCCAACAGGTAACAGACCAAAGTAGATCAACACAAAACTTACTTATAACTGAACAAAGACAAGTGAAAAAAAGAGGCGGACAGACATGGAAGAACCTCGGTTCCAGTGCTCGCCTGAGCTGATCACTACACAGGAACACAAAGAACACTCATTCATGCCCTCTCCTTCGCGAGTTTCGCGAGGGCGCGCCACTCATTCCACAAGCTCGAAACAAGGGACCATGCAACAGCAACCTCCACCTTGCAGAAGCCAAGATCGCAGGTGCCATTGCTCGTGCCGGCCCTCTCTGGCGTGAACACGGCCTCGCCTCGCGCAACAACGACGGCAGCGCCACCACCATCATCACCGTCTTCTTTGCCAGCGGTCTGAGGGGATGCCACCACGGAGACAACCAGCTTCCCCCCCTCGAGGTCCACCGACACGACGTGCCTCGAGAGCTCGACCGCGCCGGTTGAAGGGCTGATCGGCATCTTCCCGTCCCGGGAGTCGAGCAGCAGCACCTCTCCTTCCCGCACGGTTGTGACCTCGGCGACGACGCGCCCACGGAGACCCTCTGGCCACACACCGTCGATGATCCGGACATGGATGACGGTCGCCTCGACCGAGGGGTCCAGCGGCGCGTAGGCAAGCTGGATCGTGCACCGGTCGCAGAGGATACCAGAGCGGATCACATGTGTGGCAAGGTAGGTCTGGGGGTAGTTGAAGATCCCGAAGGCCAGCATCTCGACCTCTTCGGGGTCCGTCTTGCTCTTCACCTTCAGCTGGAACTCAATCGTGATCGGGTCAATGATCACGATCGCGCGCGACGGGCCTGTCAGCAGTAGGTATGGATCCTGCAATGCAAGCAACACATGTCAACAAAAAGACTGGCAGACTATCATGTCACGAAGACGAGAACTATGGTGAATATATCAAATTCATGCTCCAACTCGATGAAGATGGAAGAATCAGAGGAAGTATATTTTAACATAAAACAACAGACAACAAATGATGCACGGTGCTTGCCTGTTGGGTGAGGACCTGGCAGTTATCACTGGTGCGGTTGAAGAGGAAGTTGCGATTGTGATCCGAGGTGTCCCTCGCGGCGACAAAGCCGTGGACATGCAGCGGCCACTGGAGACCGTCTTCCAGGTTGGCCACCCGGATGCCGAAGATCTGGATGGTACAATGAGGTCTGGCGTAGCTCGGGATGGGTCCGAATGTAAAGCGCATGGGACCAAGAGTTGCTGCAGTGCAGGAAGCAAAGTTAAGCCATGTATCACAGGAACAAATAGAGCTTCTTGTTATCTTTTTTGACCGGAAAACCGTAGAACAATAGTTCTACGGTAAATTATATTAAAAATATGTACATACAAACGTTCATATAAAGAGATCACTCAATACCAGTTTTATGAAACCTGGAAACTAATTAAATGTTCTGTGTGACCCAGGATCTAATCTTATCCGCTTTAGAATGTTTTGCTTTGATCTGTGCTGCCCAAAGTCCTTCTTGGAGGTAAAACTTCCAGCCCTGGATGTGTGGAACTGCTGCTCAAAAGATCTTATCGTTTCTGATGGACCAGATACCCCAACAGCCCATAGAGACAATATCTAGTGCAATATCTGGGGGCAGTTGAGTCATAGCCAGCTGGAAATCATCAAAGATGGAGATGCCTCTAAGTTTGGAAGGAGAGCTTCTTGTTATCAGCAAACAACACACATCCATGCTAAATGAAACTAGCTAAGAAATGATTTACTCTAATCCGGAGCACAGATGCACCCGCATGACAGTAAATTCCCCAAAAGAGGTAATAAAAAATCAAAAGAATCAGACTTTTTTGTCTATGAACAACATCCTCTAAAAATTTTGCCACGAAAAGACATCTGTAGAGATGTGTGCCAAAAAACCAAAGACCGAGTGCTCCAAAATGCGTCTTTTTGAGTCCCGGTTTTATTCTGTCTTGTACATGCCTCCACAAATGTCTTTTCAAGCTAAGATCTTGCATGATTTAGAATATTTGTTGATGTTCATCCACACACACACGCACACACAAATTCAGATTTTTGATATTTGTTACTGTTTTTTCCATATCTGGCTAGAAAGGGTCTCTGTTAGTATCCTTTTCTACATTAAGAAGAAAATTGGACATACTAGTAATCACATGGCTACACTGATGCCACGGAGGAGAAAGAAACATCCACAAATCCACCTCACTCACAGATCAATTACGATCAGTTAATAGCCGTTCCCATGAATGAATGAAAACTGCAACTGTTTACTTCCTAGCTAGGAGTACAATCCAATGAACGGAAAATTGGAAGTGATGCGAGCGAAACAGGGGAGGGGAGGGAGATGTGTCCTTACTCTGGTCGTCGAAGGAGCCGTATTTGCCGGCGAAGCGGCTCTCCCACAGCCCGCGGTACCTGGTGATCCGATCCTCCTCCCTGTAGACCCACTCCTCCTTCTCCCCCTCCCCCTCCTCCTCCTCCTGCTCCATCTTCTCCGGCGGCGGCTGCTCCTCGTTGGCGCATGGGGATGGGGATGGAGGCCTGATGTTGATACACTCATGGTTCCCCCCGGCACCCCGCTCGCCCTCGGACTCCCCGCGGAAGATGGAGAAATCCATCCCCGCCAACCCGCTGCGGGTCAGCTCCTCCATCGCCGCCGCCATCGCCGGGGATCGGTTCCTCTGCTGCGCTGCCTAGGGTTTCGCTACGCTCGGATTGTTATTTTTCTTTTCGCTCCGGGGGGTGGGGGGTGGGGGGGACGGACCGGCAGCCGCGGGTCATTCCAGATCTTTCTTCCGGAATCTTCCTCTGCTGCCTTCTTTCTCCAATTCTTTTACCTCCTCACAAACCACCCACAAACCCACATTTTTCCCCCAAACAAAATATTGAAATTTGAGAGTTTTTCTATTAAAAAAAACTCAACAGCACACCTAAAACTGCACGGGGATATAAAAAAAATTGGTAGCCACTTAAATTTTGCTACTCGGACCAATATTTGAGTCTCCCTACCACTACTAATAAAAAAAACCTGAAAATGTGGCGCCATTCTCAACCACTTGTGAGTGAACTTTCACCATCACTATGCCGCCCAACCCCCGTTGCCATAGCCACTCTTGTGGTCTCCCATAGCCCCAGAGCTCGAGACCATCCGTCGTGACCCCCACAACCATCGCTGAGCTCACACCAACGCACGATCCCACTAGGATCCTACCCGACCCCGCCTGATTATGGTCATCTACCATTGGATACACGCTCCCCGCTGTCTGATCCACCCTCGTCGCCCGCCACCATCCCCTCCGCCATTTTCTTGCTCAAGCTCGTCCGACGCTGCCCGTTGATTCCGCCATCCACGAGCTATCCGCCATGCCAACTACGCAATATGCTTTTATTAGGACCAGATGCACTTCCATCACCAATTACGCCAGTTTCCAACCACTCACCTGCCTCCTCATATCTCTTCACCTCCTTTATGTTGGTTCAATCTCATGTATTATCATCTTCTTCCTCCCCTAATCTTATCTTAGCCACATATTTCCACGCACCCCATATGGTAAATGAAATTGTTGAAAGGGGTTTTCCCTATCTCCCAATGTTGAACTTCCTTATCTCCTCAATCATTCAAAATGCTTTGAAATTGAATAAAAGAAGAAGAAGGTTAATTGGGGGCTATTAGTGGTTTATGGTTTTGTCCATTAAGAACTCAAGGAGGAATTCCTGATTGAGCTTGCTGCCGTGTGCACTAGCATGCAAGTCCCATATATTGGGGGTGTGGGATTCAATATCTTAAGGCATTACGGGGAGAAAAATAAGAAGATGTCAAGCCATAAATCCACTGATATTTTTAATTCCATTATCAATACCTTGGCCCTTAGAGAAATCCACATTAGTGGTGGCAAGTACACCTGGACTAATAACCAGGCTCACCCCACTTTGGAAAAACTTGATAGTATCCTGATGTCGGAGACTTGGGAGGACTTGTTCATGCTGGTTCCTGTTAGGAAATTGGTTCGGGAAATCTCGGACCATAATCCATTATTGTTGTCATCGGACAATGAGGGGCGTGAGATGCCGAAACCTAGAGACTTTTGCTTTGACCTTGCTTGGGTCAAGGATGATATATTCCTGTCGTTGATCTATATGTGCATATAAAAAGGGGGAGATTGAAAGTGCATCTAATCCCCTAGTATTTTTAGTAATTCATCACAACATATATATCATTGAAGCGTACTCAAATAAAATTTCGTGAATGTTCAATTTAAGTACAACAGTTGGGATGTGCAAGTGGACCCCTCAAAATACTAAGGACTAATGTTGGCCAAGCTTCAAGACTCTCCATTTCTACTTAAGTGATCCAAGATCTCATTAAGTCCATAGAAAAGCCAGTACTATTAAAATGGGATCATGTTTTGTGATGATGGTCTAACTGCTCAAGTGCTTAGCGATATTGCTCCAAAATCCTCAAATATTTGCCCACTTTCCACTGTGTCCAAAATCCTAAGTTCGTCTCGGTCCCACCAAACAACATCCATTCAAACTCACCGAGATACACAAGACATAGCCGTTGCCTAAACCCTAGCATCTTGGTCTCATCGAGTTGACCCTTCAGTCGACAAAAGAGCACTTGTCAACCTTTTGTTGCCAACTGAAATTCAATTAGAATTTTTGATTATTTTCAGCCGGTGATACCGAAGTGTGGAAAGTTCTTAGGTCAGCATGACTCGATCTCACCAAGAGGTTTCATCCGGTCTCACCGAGAAGCCTAAAGTTCAAACCTTTATATAGGTCGATCTCAGAGAGTGGTTTCACCCGGTCCCACCGAACTATGCATAAAGGTGTGTAGCGGTTGGATTTTTGGTGCTGACTATGTATACCCCCACCCATTCCACCAACTCTCAGAGAGCAACTAGAGCGAAGCATACACTTCCCATATCCATTTTTTTGGGAGAGAGCTCCATATCCTTGTGTGAGATCAAAGGGATTCCACTCCAACCATGGAACTTTGATCTCTAGCCACCTCAATTCTTTGCACCAAAATCCCTCTCCTACCACATTGCCAAAATATGTGAGAGAGTACTTGAGTGTTAATGAGACTATCTTTTGAAGCACAAGAACAAGTAGTTCATCATCAACAACAACATCTATTACCTTTTTGAAAGGTGGTGCCTTCTAGATTGGTTAGGTGGGCTTGGGAGCCTCCAAATCTTGTGTAGTGAGCCAAGAAGTTTGTCAGGGCAAGGAGATTGCTTAGTTCATGGAGATCTACTCCGAGTGATGCTAGTCCTTCATGGGCGTAAGCCATGGTGGAAAAAGCAAGGTTTCTTCTTCATGGACCCTTCATGGGTGGAGCCCTCCGTGGACTTGCACAACCATTATCCTTCATGGATTGAAGCTTTATTCCATCAACACAGACTGACGATAGCATCAGCTATCAGAACCACGGGTCAAAACCTTCCGTGTCATCATAGCGTTTGCACATCTCCAAACCCTTTCCTCTATTACTATCACATGCAAATGTCTTTTATTTTTTGTTGCTCGTACTTAGACTTGCATGTGTAGGGTGTTTGTAGACTTGCTATAATTTCTAAAATCTGCCAAGAACTAAAATTGGGAAAATGTCAATTTTTTATTTGGCAAGTAGTCTAATCATCCCCCTCTCTAGACCTACTCCCTCTGTAAAGTAATATAAGATCATTTAGATCACTACTTTAGTGACCTATAACATCTTATATTACCAGGGAGTACTTACGATCCTACAAAAAACCCATCTTATTTTATCTATGGCTTTGAAGAACCAGGGAGGAGGATCAACCGATTAACTGGAAAATTGGGATGGCAGTTAGAACAACTTGGACCAAAATAAGTCATCCTCCTTGAGTAAGAAGTGTATCATCCAACTTGCGAGTTTGCCTCGGATAATGTCTATGCCAACTCTGAGGTCTTCTTTCCTAACTTTCTTGAAGTGAAACGGGAGCCAAAGATATTGGATACGAAATTGGCAAACCTGACAACCCAAGATCCCGTTGATCTCCTGTGTGATGTCTCCTCGAGAAAGAATGGTAGAGATCAAACTCTTTCCCGTTGCAACACAGACCGATAGCCCCACCAAATATGTCCAGAAGACTTTTTATAGTATGGCCATCATCAATAGAGGCATTGAGGAAGATCATAACATCTTCTGCGTATAGAAACATGTGTTGAGTAATAAACTGATCTAGCTTACCAATGAGGCCCTCAACATTGGCTTTATCAAACAAAGCTCTAAGTACATCCAAAACGATGATGAGAATGATGGGGGAGAGAGCATCCCCTTGGCGAATGCCACTAGCATGTTGTAACTAAGGTCCTGGAAGTCCATTCAAGAGTATCTTCATAAAGGTCGTTGAGAGGATCATGACTATCCATTTCTTCCATCTGCTACCAAAGCCCAACTTATTTATCATCTCAATGAGACGGAATAGTACAAAAGCCTTTGCTATTTTGAGTTTGAGTAGGATGCCATTGCAATTCTTCCCTCTCAATTTATTGTTGATTCCCTTACCACCCAGAAGTTGTCATGCAACAACCTATCCTTGAGAAAGGGCCTTGATAGTTGATCAACGTATGTGAAAGCTCAACCGCCAACCTTCTGGATAAAGTTTTATAGAAGACCTTACGAAGATTGTTTACAAAGAATATTGGATGAAAATAACAAGCCCCTGGGGGCTTGGGCACTAGAACCATGAATGCGTCATTTATCATGTCAAAATCATGACCCCCCAACTCCACCAGATATTTTCTAATTTCTAGCCAGCATTTCTGGTAGAAGACGGTGAGGAAGCCATCCGGCCCAAGAGCTTTCTCCCCTGACATGCCCTTAATAACCTCTAAAACTTCCTCTTCAAAGAACATGGTCTTCAACGCATTGAGATTTAAACTTTTGATCCCAAGGAATCAAGGTTTTAGTCATGCGAGCTGTAAAACAAACAACATTTTTTTCGCTGATGTGTTTGAAGAGCATATCTTCCATACGTTTCTGATCTACACCACCCCCACCCCAACAATCGCCTCTTTGATTTTTTTCCCGTTGTGTCCAAAATCCAGCCTGTCTTTTCTTGAATCCACTCGGCAACAATTTCTTTTGTTTGCTCTAGAAGAAAATTTTAAGGCATTTGTAATCCATCTATGTTTGTGGGGAGAGGGCCAACCTTTAGAAGAAGATGAAGTTCTCTATGAGGAGGGCGATGAGGGCATGGACGTCAACGACAAGAGTAGGGCGGCGGAGGACAACGTGCTCACAGACGGCGACATTCACACACTCAACTATAGTAGCCACAATCAGGACAATGCTCACGGGAGATGGTAATAACCACATGCGTGCAATCACCGACATCCAGGAGTAAATAAAAAAGAATTTGAAAATTGATGACGAAAATGAATAAAATGAAACGAGTAAAATATGAGACGACAATGAAAGGAGTAAGGCGCAACTTTAACCAAATGGACGATATAGATCTGCCATGTTAATTTCTTCTCCAAATAATTCATCAGATTTGTTACTTCATTCGGCTTGACATTTCTTTTAAACAAACCCATTCTGCCGGGCTTATTCGCAATTGGGTGGCCTGGAGTAAAAAGAAGATTCATTTTGACATATGAAGTGAAATAACTTTTG